AGGTCTGGCTCGTGGCGTCCATCCATTTACCGTCAGCTTCTGTGAACGGTGAACCGAGCTGATTCTTGCATGCATGTTTGCAAGATGCCAGTCTTAATCGGGTTCCATCAGTGTAACACAAGCAGCACGCGAGCGGGGATTATTGGCCGTTGGATGGTGGCCCCGACACCATCACCACCACCCCTTTTATCGCCTTCTACGATACTCAAACCAAGCAGAAATACGCAGTTGATTTCAACAGTCTGGTCGGGCCGAGACTTCTGAGAGAGATTGAATCTTTACGAGTACAAGAAACCCGAAAGCCTGAGGCAGCGGCCGCCCATTTGATGATCTTGTACAAAGATGGACCGATACACTGTAAGCTCTTTCCCTACCCGAGATTGCAGTGGACCAGATGCAGGATTCAACATTAACCACGTGCAGCTTGGCCATGCGGTCTCAGGTGATGCACATGGCCCAGCCAGCGGCACAGCGTCACGCCCACCAAGTTCCCTTGTCTCCCTTTCCAACAAGCGAGTTGATATCCCCGTCCCGAGCCATGCCTCCGCATGTTTCACCCCCGAAAGCCCGATTGTTCACCGCCGGGAATAGCTGAATGAGATTGCCCGGTCCCAAGCCCACGGATCACGTTGATCGAGAACAGATCTGGGCTATCATTACGGATCTCAGTCAATAGTACTGGACCCCGTGTCCTTTTTTCGCCGGAGTTCTGAGCCAAAAGCTGTCGAACACTGGCTTTGTTTTACTTAATTGCGTGATTCGAGGAGCCGCCGGGCCGAACTGCAAACATTGAATCCATGCCTCCCGTTTACACCACCGCTACGCGGCGAGGTGGCCGGCTGTCATCGCAGAAGGCTGCAGCTGAAGTCTTAAAATGGCAGGTGAGACGTTGTGCAAGGATCATAATCCTGGAAGAGCCTTGTCAGTGGGTTTCTTGAAGAGCGTCCTTTCACTTACAACGTGTGAACATGACGTTACCTCTAAACTTGACGAACCCGGGTACTACACTTCCGTCGTTTTCCAATTTATTTTGAGTGGATTGACGTCCGCATTCATCGACACAAAAGGGGGCGGCGGTAACCTCTCCGCACATGGCATTGCAAAAGGCTTGCAAGGTCTTTGTAGCAGCCCTCCTCTTTTCGTCGATCACTTGCTCTGGGGTGGTGTGGCATGCAAGCCTCCTGTAGCTTCTCTGTCTGTCTTCGACATATTCTCTGATGTCCGTTGATGGTTGTCACACTGCCTTGTCAGAAAACGCAGTCTTCTCCGTAGGTTCGCATCCCTGAGGTAATCTGCGCGCAGGCTTAGAAGGGCTGAAAATAGAGAGGGGCCAAAAGGCGGTTAATAGGCCTACTCACATGGCTGAACCACGATTGACCGCCATCAAAACATGGCTTGATGTCTTGGCTGTGCATTGATAGCTGGCAATTCGATGTTTGGGTTGCAACATCTTCGGGTTGGAGTGGTGGATGGCTGATATTTGGGGGCCCGAGGCCAGTTTTCGGGAGCTCACATTTGTTAGTAGACACCCAAACGATTTGTTATGTGGAATAGCCAAGCGGAAGTGTGAGTGTCGCTCTTTGTACTGGTTTGATCCTTCTCTGGCAAGGCCGCTAAGGGACGACGGTTCTCACCTTCTTGCCATCGGAGATGCGAGTCTGCCTACCCTCTCATCTCGTGAGTTGTGACGAAAGTCATCGTGGCCGATGCATCCGCACATACTTCTACTCCCTCGTCATTTCAGTGCCGCTTATTTGCTGGAACTACCTTTGCGAGGTGACAAGGATGCATGCTCACCGTCTTGTGGCTCTGTTGTCACAGTGTTCTGGTGGATGCATTGCTATCTATCAAATATGATGGGGCTGCGCGCATCGCACTAAGATGTCGACTAGCAAGGCAACCTTGGTAGCAGAGAGCCCAACGGTAACACGAAAGTAACCTGTGACCTCTGATGCTAACAATCGGGACTTGTCTCGGTTCGAGTTACCCTCTGCATGATGCCCTTGCGCCCCTCAGAATACTCTAGGCTGACTAGCCATGGGCTGAGTTTCTGTAGGACTTCTCAAAGACGGCTAGCTTCCTGAAGGGCATACCATACGTCGTCCTTCACTGTGGCTGGCGCACATGAGAGACACCTCGAACGTTGGGCTCTTCTGCATGGCGCCGGAGAAAAAGCCCATGTCCCTGCCCTAACGAAGCCTCAGAACATCCATTGGATGTATGTCCTTCCCCACTCACAGGTTCTCTGGCAGTTGATCTTAAGTACCGGGAACATCTTCGCAGGAAGTAGAAGAATGCTAAGGATTCCTTACTAAAAGCGGGCTCAAAGCCGTCAAGCTGCAAGAGATACCCGCTTTACAGACCACAAGAGGGTAGCCTTAGTTGCACACACCCCATGGCACACACGATGAGGCACACTGAGCCGAGAGTCTACTTGCTCACTTGATCACAATTACACTTTCTTGTACATTTAGCCAGCACTCTCTGCTCCAAGATGAGGCTAGCCTGCGTACAATTCTCTGGATAGGAGCCGGCCACGTTAGGCCTCTAGGGCGGAGCTTCACCAGCAACATTTCCCGACAACATACAACTTACAGATACCAAGCACACTTCCCATTTGTTGATGCCTGGTATGGTTCTACGGGAGCCTGGTCATGTTGGTCTCGGTGCAGCGAGAGAGTGCGTCGTGGCGCGGATACCCTGCTGCTAAGGCACGTGCATCCGGGGGAGACGCCCATATACATGGCGACACCTCTGCATGAATACTTGACACAATAAGACACATTGAATGGATCATCTTTTTGGAGGCTTGTACGGCTGCGCAAGGTCGCGCGCATAAGACATGCATCCCCGGGGTTTTGTGGCTGGTATACCAAACCTGGGCAGGCATGGCTGTATGGTGTCTGTGCAACTCAATTGGATCCTGGGGACAAATTAGATATCAATCATAGGCTTTAGTAAGCAGAATTATGTATTTACGAAGTAATGTACAAAAAGAATGTACGTACATGCGACGAAATCAGTAGTTATCTGAAGAAAGACGCGGTGGTTGTAATGGGAGTTGTTATAGCACAATTGGATTTCCCATAGAAACATAGAAAGTCTTAGAAGACGTCGAAACTAACCTATGCCCATTTTGAAATAAATGAACTCGATTGACTAGGTCATATAGCCTTGGCCATGGAATCTACCTGTGGTTGGATAGGTAGTCTAGTGTTCTCAACTCCAGAAACAAGGGTAAGCGTGGATGTTTCATGCTGGCACCTTTGCGTCAGCTGCACGAGACCTCATGCGTTGTTAGTGATGATTCAGCGACATGGTGCTTTGGCTGAATAAGTTGAAGCCGGATTCAGGCAAAAGTTGTAGCAAAGAGTCGGAGTGTAGTCAAGTTACGCAAAGCCTAAACCTTCAGAAACAACTGTATTGAACTGATAACATGCGTGATATATGATGTTTTCGCCGTCTTCAATTTGTCTTTGACTCCTGATCTCCCGTATGTTAGGCCACAAATAGTAATGATTCCATCAGAGTGATGATTTATGCATGGCAGATATAACATTTGATAATAGGACTTCAGGAGCTTGTGAAATCGATACGCACGCTCTATACCACAGGTTTCTCAGAGAACTGATCATGGATTCTCTAGTAAGTCTGGTATGCTAACTACCATAATGAACGTCACATATGGCATTGCGTCAAATCCTAGTGTAGGAGTTCGCGATGGTGGAGACCGAAGATCGCACTAAATAGACGACCCGTCACTAGTACGATTGCAACGCACGGGACCGGGAGGTAGGAAACTCTGAATTGACGGCAAATTCAGTGGAAAGTGAAATGCTGTTTAGCGCGTTGACCGGCACTTGGTCCAGGGGGTGCCTCAGGGTCTGACCAAGAACTGGTTCCTATGGGCGACAGCGGCTTTCTGCAGCTCCTCAACATAGCCTCGCATGCACAAGACGTCAAAGTGATTGGCGAAAGCTTTGTGAGTGATCACATGATCAATCTGTCAAGCCAGACGCCCGCGAACAGGAGGGGAAGGGTGTCAAGAGTGGCACGTTGTGTCTCATGGGATGCAGTTTGACAGACGTATTGGCGTTGCCTTCTCATGACCCCTCAATTCCTATAAACCACAATCAATACGCCGACCAACACTCTTATGGTGCTGTGATACGAGTAGGAAACCGTCAGTCTGTCAGTCGAGATGGTCTAAGCAACTGAAGCCATGTCCAGGGGTCTTGTGTGGACTCGTGAGGTCTCGGCGCGCCGCGCGCGTGATGGTCCATCGTGAACATCGGAAAAGATTGGCGATCTAGCCAATGAAAAGAGCAGTGATATATGGGCAACGGAGCCGCTAGTCACTAAGGACGAGTCAAAGTTATTAGGGCGGGAACAGGGTTCAACAAATGCTCGCCTCACCTTGCTACTCCACCTCATTGGCTAGGCAGCCGTGGTATGACCGCAAGCTAGGAAGCAAAATAATGGGACTGATCAATCATCTAGCTTGAAAAGTACCAGGGTGAAGTTTATTCGCCGGGTCGAAATGGAGTCAGCATGGTGTTTTGATGTAGAGGGCTATTCGTAGTGCATGTTCGATTACCAGTCGTAATGGAAGGTCGCTCGTGGCCTGATAACTCACTAGCTCCCACTCCTCTTTTCACTGCATTTTAATCTTGACATCAACTCAGTTGTTTGACCAGAATGTTTCAAGCATGCAAGATTACGACTTTTCGACTGCATTGAACGACCACTACTAGTACAGCTCTCATCAAAACACCAAACAAGAACTTTTTACAGCGCCGGGGATAAGAGAACAACAGAAACCAGGATTTTCTTCCTCAAGATAGGTGACGTCGAAATGCTATGATGAGTGAGTTCATGGCTGATGCCAAGCCATATCCTACATTCTCCCATACCCCCTTCCTTATCCTTTACTTTTGACGATGGCTGGACTTGGAGTGTTTTTTCTTTTTCTTCTTCTCATCATGATTTGGACTGTAACTTCAGTTAGAGAGATCCCGAGTTGTTGGAGGAAACTCATACCTGCTAGGTCTATTGACATGAGTCGACATCGATCTTTCGGATCTCGCAGGGAGATTTTGCAAGTTCAATTGTATTGGGTTACGGCCGCGGGGATCCTCTTGAGCTGGTACGATGTCAAAGTTGGTTCCATGTGGATTCCAAGCGCCCATGTGGCCAAAGTCCTGGGATGACGGAGTTCCAACTGAGAAACCTGTGGAGGCCGACTGCATGCTTGACGAATAGTAAGCGCTGGGAATCGCATCACCCATGGCGGGGTCAGGATGTGCGGTGCTGAAATCATTCCCGCTCCCTACATAAGGCTGAGAAGGCAAAGTTGCATTCCAGTCCATTTGCTGCTGTGCCGCCGGCTGATACCAATATCCATCGGGCTCGCCAGCTGTTGCGTTCTGCGGCGATGAATGTGGGTTGGCAGTCTGTGAGTGGCCCATACCAAAGTGGTGCGATGAAGAGTGACAAGGTATGGGCTGTGGCGGCGGGTTCGCCGTTTGCTGGGCGTCGTAAGGTTGGTAGGGGTAAGACATGGAGCCTCGATTATTCTGGCCCGCAGTGCCTTGCTGCTGTTGGAGATCGGCTTTGCGCTTTGAGCTACTCGAGACCATGTCTGTCTTTGTTTCAACGTCAAGAGAAAAGTGACTTTTCGAAAAGACTTCAGGGGCGGGACAGCGAGGAGAACTGTATTAATAATTTTGCAGGATGCCCTCGAAACATCGTCTTATGAACAACAGGCGTATGCTAACAGCGACCTCTTAACTGTCGTCGGGGGACGGGCCTTTCGAATCACACTTCACAATAATCATCTTAGCGTTGGGCGCGATTTGTTACAAAGATGAAAGCCCTACGGCATCGTTGGGCACGAACAAACGCTTGGAATAGACACAAAATTCGGATTGCCCTATCATGGGCAGCCTCAAAAACACGGCGTCGTCTGCTAGCTGCTGCTGCCTAGAGTCCTAGAGGAGGTGTGGGCTCACTCAAAGCTGCCTTCTCACGCTCTTCAGATAGCTGAAAATTAATGAGCAGAACAACCGATGCGGACTAAAGATGGTTCGCCCCAGAGCCCCCATTTCTGGGAAGGTGAAGGTAAGTAGGATCTGTTGCTAACGCATCTCACGTCTTCAACTCGAGCCGACCACAGATGCACTTAGCCGGGGCCGCTCCGAATTCGATGACCATCGCGCTGTATCACAGCTGAAGAACCTGTTCAGATAACAAGACAGGGGGCTGCCATCCCGCCGGGGCATACGTACCCCAAGGAATGAAAGGCCTTGACGCAGAGATGCATTTTGGTTCGTTCATTGGCCAACTCTCAATAGCCTTGCTTCCAGATGTGCAGAATGGCTCTGAAGGATTTACAGGATGTAGCCCATTGAAACAAACTTGCAGATGACGTTTCTCAGCCGGCCATTGTTGCCTTCTTTTCGAGCAGAAAGGCCAAGGGGCGATTACGACACCATGTTCTGATTTGGGACTGGGTGGCATCACAGTCTCAATGCGGCCTGTAAGCGCATGTGTGCTTTTCCAGAACAGTGGTCTCCAAGCCCAGATCATCCTTCGTGCGGCAAAATGATCACGGCAACCCCGAAAATTAAACAGCCACAACAGCAATTACGACAAGGCGGTGAGACCACGACGAGCCCTGCTTGATGCCTGAGCTAACTCAGGGTTCATAGTTGATTCTTAGACACGGGAAAGCGAAGAATTAGCTACTTCGGAAAACCGACCAATTTCCTTATTTCATGTTGACGTCTTGGACGGAGGCGTTGTCCCTGTCTGCCTGCACGGTACTTTCAGTGCTTAGGCTTCTGTTGGCCCTGTTGACGCTCAAGCTGCAGTGATCTACGGCGCAGAATTCCCACCACATCGGCTTGCTTCCGCTTGCCCGGCATGCTTTCATCAGCGATTGGGCTCATTCCGCTCAACATTGTATACGTTCAGTGATCAAACTCGTACTTTTGAATGGCCAAACTTCACGGACTGAACATGACTGGCTTATTGCGATGGTTGGGTTCCTGCCGAAAATGCTTGCGCCATCCGCGGGGATGTATGAGGCCGAGGAATCCTTCTCAGTTTATAACACTGTGTACGTGCCAAATTAGCTGTCGACAGGTCGTCGTACGCGGAGACACTACCGGAACTATCATTGCCCTGTTAAAGCTTCTGGGGATATTCATGAAAGTTGTACCTGGGGTGGCTCCAGCATCAGTCGCTGTAGTATTTCGCTCCTGCAGAGAACCTTGCGTGGACGGCTATCCAGCCACTCAAAGACGTCGCGGTCACCGATAAATTTACCGGACAGCTCGGCGTCTTCTTTTACTTGTTCGAACCCCGCGAAATGAGTGACCTATCCCCAATTCTGTCATAGTCGACCTCCAGCGCAACAAATTTGATACTTGAGCCAGACGTCTTGATCAGGTTCATGGCTTGCATTGTTGATCACTGCAAAGTAAGCACCATCCCAGTATTCATGTTCACATATCAGTCACAGACACATCAATGATAGCAAAGCAACAGACAAGGAAAGCACGCGCTATCTCCCGCAGCCGCAGGGCCCTCGGGCGCCGCCGGCCGCCGAGGCTTCCGTTCATCCAGTCACAATGAGCCGTCTGGCCCGCGAGAGTTGGTTGGCAATAGATGCTTTGATAGGCCCTGGTCAGCAATCGCTCCGTCCTGGGCCGTCTGGGCGGCTGCATCTCGCCGTAAGCAGCTACGCATTTGTCATAGGCGACCATTGGATCTGGACAACAAGGCCGACGGTGAAAAGGTCACATCGTATGCCCTTGGAATTAACTCCTATACATAAAAAAGAGTTGGAAGCTTTGTTTTAACGTTCCAGTAAGACCAATATTCGACTTGAACTGGGGTTGTGACTGTCATGTAAGGGAAATCGTACCTCGGGCACCTGGTCAGTGACTTCATAAGTCTGAAATGCGAGAAACCGAATGATTTGTCCTCGACATTATTTAGCGAATTTCCGTCTTTGGATATATAAGTTGCTTTCACTCAAGTTCGGGGAAATCGCTTTTGCTCGGTTCGAAAACGTATAATGACATATGCTGTATTTTAATTCTTTCTACTTTCTGATCAGTGCTGATTGCATCAGTATCCGCTTCAATTATGACTGTTAAGCTTTTCTGATCATCTAGAACTCTAGACCCAAGATCAGAACCCATACTGCTCTGCATGTAGACAGATTCCTTGCGCCCCAGTACCTTTGTGTACGGCTCTCTCGTCGGAGAGTCGGGCAACACAATTTCTAACCGTAGCTACGAGAGACGAGCCACCACAAACAACAACCAAGGATTCCCCGCCTGCAGCTTCAATAGGTTCTCGTATAAAGCTCGAGATGTCCGGCCGCGAGGTTGAGAGGTTGATCTTCGCTGAAAATGTGGCCCCGGTGTTATTGTACGCCTGACGGGCGCCATCAGCCTCAACGTCAGTCACCGCTGAGAACTTCGTGGCCGCTTTTTCGGCCTCTATGTCGTAATCGCCCGATGCGAAAGACGAAGGTCTGTCTTTGACCAACCGAGTCAAGTCTGATGAGGACGGAGATGTTACGCCGCCCGTTACCGCAATATGAACGTTCAACTCCATACAGTTGCTTCCTCGTCCTACCATAGCTTTCAACTCTTGTAGACGCTCAATGTAAAGAGCGATCTCGTCTGCTTCTTTAGTCATGATAAGAAAGTCAACCCGCGTTACGCAAGTCTTCTTGTCTGTTGCAATGACGCCTTCTAGCATGGAAAGAGTAAACGAGGCGCCAGTAGAGGCCGCAATGAGGACTAAAGTCTCGTAATGGCTACTCGCAGGCGGATGCCCATAGGGACCCATCACGAAGGCTGTCAACACCTTGGATTGGGCATCGCTCTGAGAAGCGAAGCGATGAAGCCTGCGCGAGAAGCCCGCGTGCTTGCGTACGACCAATTGGATACTATTGTTTTGCGCCTTTTTCTCCTTGTCTGTTGATCGATTTGCACCAGCAATGGTGTATGGATGAGTTTGCGTTGGTCCGACCCCTGGTAGCCAAAGATAAATATGCTGACCTGGTTGCCAACTGAAATTGATGTCCTCAATAGTCAGCACTGTGGTCTGAGATCCTGAGATCTTAACGCGAGCCGGATGGCCGAGTCGCTTTCCTGCGCTCATCTGGAAGTTGTTGCGAACGAGCAATACCGTTCTCCCAAGTCGATCGGAAGCAAGAGCGGCTACCGAGACCCAGATAGCTGCCTGCGCGTAGCTGGGAACATGGACATAAAGGAGCCAGAGGAAGACTACCGCGCTGATGGCGTGTTGCGCTACAAAGAGCTCGTAGCAGAGAGACCGAAGCGGACCAAGAGAAGTGATGAACTGCAAGGCCAAGATTGCCCAAGCCGCAAAGCCGTACCGGATCATGGGGCCCATCATCGAAATCTGCAACTCAACCATGTTGGCGAGAACCCATTCGGTGTAAAAGTAGAAACCGTGAACCGTTGCCGAGAGTAGTAGAGTGCGAGCCGCCCACCGATGAAGCCAGTTCAGGCGCTCGTGGCCGGAGCCAACGACGAGGCCGAAGATGCTGTACTTAGACGCCAAGAGGTAGACTAGCGGCACTTGCATGGTGGCAATCCAGGCATTACGAAAGCCAATACGCTCCCAGAAGTATCCGTCCGAGATGGCTGTCCCAGCGGCCATCATGTAGGCGATTATGATCCAGTAGACCAGCAATACCAAGGAACGACCTAACGGCGGTGGGCTCATCCAGGAAAGCCATGCTTTGCTGATGAAAAGCTGCGGGTAGCTCATCTCTCTGGAGAGGGCTGTCATCGTTGCAAAGACCTTCTGGAAGCCATTGGTTGGTCGAGTAGGGTGACGGATGGAACCTGAAGCAAGGCGGCGAAGTCTGACAGATGTATGATTCAGCCATCAAGTAGGAAGATGACGACAAAGAGTAGAATTGAATGGTGTTCCCACCAGAGTATACACAAAAGCAGAAGATAAAGGGGTACCTACCTGATACGTGACTGGTACAGACTCAACAGCCGCAAGACAGCAATACTGCCGAGGACGCTTCCGATGATGATCCAAAAATCGCGAGCGAGCTCGATATTTGTCGTCTGGAACATGTTCATGCCCATGTCCATGGACATACCGCCCATGTTACTCATATCCATCGCGGCGAATATGGCGGGAGCCGCCGCTAAAATGAACGATGTCGGGCGATGTAACGGTTGAGAAGGCCTGCTTCCAGCGCTGGCGTTTTCTGAAGACGGTGAGAAAAGAAATCAAGTTCAAATTAAAAGAAGATGGATATCTTTGCGTACAACAGCATATCAACAGACGTCAAAATCAAACAAAACCAGCTGACGTCTTCAGGCACATGCGGCGGAGGGGATAGATCATTGTGACAAAGCCCAACTACAACCAGTGACGGTGAACTACTTACAAATTCGGATCTTCCTGGAAAGTCATCCTGCATCATCCGTTCTTCTCATATCCATGTATGCTGTACCATGTGAGTGGGCTTCTTCCCCCGCATGTACCACGGTAGGAAAGGAGCCATCCGTCCCCTTCGTGTGGACTGGGACTTGGTTTCGCCCAACCATATAACACAATAGGAGATCAAACCATATTCTGACCAATCATATAATTGAAGATTTAATGAAGTTAAAGAAAGCCCGCAGTTACATGGGGCCTCCAGATATGCTTTGTTACGCCCGCATGGATCTCCGTCCAATCCGTGATCCCCTGAAAAAAGGGTTATGTGGCCGCAATTATTCAATTACCAGCTACTCTTATGCAATATAGAGATACAAATAGGTCTAAAACGCGAGAAGGGGTATGTCTTCGTCTCAACAGAGCTTAGAGCCTTCGTGCCAAAACAAGCTCAATTCTTCTCACTGCCGCGAACTAAGTTTCACCATTTCAGCCACCGGCACCCAGGAACCGTGGTATGCCGTTGTCACTGGATCGTGGAAAAAGAATGCTTGTTTCTCGTACATCGGGTGTTTGTCTCAACTCTGGGAAAGGCGAAATCTGCCTCAATCCCCCTCAGAGTTCTGGTAGTGCTCCAATGGGTGTGGCGTTGTGCCGCTAACACTGGTCATCTGCTCCCTGGGCAACGATGCTAAGGAGCCGTTTTACCGGCACCGGCAAGCTCCATTTTCTCTTCAAACAGCCGTCTTTCAGGGACTGGCCTCACATGGTGGGAAAGCATGATACTATTCCCCAAATTTGCTCGCTGATGTTGTGCAGCCTTTACGACATCCTTGGCCGACTATTTATCACCAAGCAGCACCCTCCATCTTTGCGTGACATCCGGCAGCACAAACCTTTTGTTTCTTGATTCAAAGTTTCGTTTTAATCACAGTATCGTTTTCACTGAGGCTGGTTCTCACTATCTTTACATTAATACTCAGTCCCCTATACATCATTCTTCTTCCGCCGTACGTCCGTTAATACAACATGGCACCAATTCGATCGATCGCTGTTACAGCTTTGCTGCTGGTGTCGGCGGCTCAAGCGCACTTCAAGCTCAACTCTCCGCCCACAATTGGCTTCAGCGATGATAACGAGGGCTCCGCTCCTTGCGGAAGCTTCACTCCAGACTTCACCAAGGACAACGTGACAGATTTCCATGTCAGCGGCGAGGCCATTTCGTTATTGCTTGCACACCCTCAGGCCAACTGGCTGTTCCGTGGTACACTGGACCAGACGGCTGCTTCGAACTGGAAACAGCTGTTCCCTATCGTACAGCAGAAGGGGCTGGGCGACTTTTGCGAGCCTTCCGTAACTGCACCTGCAAGCTGGGTCGGCAAGAAGGGCGTCTTGAGTGTTGTCGCCGACGGACCAGACGGTTTGCTCTACCAAGTAAGTGACATCATCTCAGCACGATACCTTTTCGGTTTGTAGGACAAGTCAGACATCTAAGTCTCCATGCTTCCCTGCTCATTTCCCCTATATCTTGTCTCTGGACAACTACTGATGCATATAATCTAGTGCTCCGCCGTAAACTTCGTCGAGGGTACAGGCACCCAACCCGCGAGCTGCAAGAACGCAACCTCCGTCTCCGCTTCCTTCGCAACGGACTCCAAGCTGACTGCGTTGGTGGCGAATGGGACCGGTAGCGCAACCCAGCCATCGACATCGAACAGCGCTAACAGCGGCGCTCCTGCCAAAGGTGCTGCTATATCTGTGGGTGGTCTCATGGTTCTGGCGGGCGCGGTCGTCGTTGGATCCGCGATGCAGTGATGGAAAGAGGCAAACACGACCAAGGTCAAAAGCTGGTATCACGCACATTTGAGTAGTTTTATTTTCGTTCTCCAAAATACAGTGCGTCTTGCACGTCATTTCATGGTCGTCGTTAGTAACCGAGGCATTAGCCATCTCGCTTGATCTTCCGTAACACATGCGCCTTGGCTTATATTTACCTTGAGCATTCGGTTATCACTACCCGGACTGAGGCCTGCTATTTCTCTGACACATTCGTTCGACTTCGTGCAATCAGCACAGAAGAGCCCAAGCCGTTCGAGGCCTGCTCAGACCAGCCAGCCCTGCAAGCCTAGACAGTCTAGCGAAGGGGAAGACACATGACCTGCAAGAACGACAAGGAGCATTGGATAGCAGGACCAGTCAGAAACAGGTGCTTGAACGGCACCGAGAATCCTTCCCTATCGCCCTCGAGGTTTGCTTCTTAGCGTTCGGCCAGCTTACGTACAATCCGATAGCCGTCTCTCAAACGCGCAACGCTGTTGCTTTTGAGATATCGAACTCAATCACTATCATCGGATACTCGTTCCGGAGTTTTGACCCACATCACCCCGGACATCCCCTTGTAATCGTCGATGTAACGTGCCCGAGATATGCAATGCAGATACGGCGTCATCTTTCTTGTCCCTGGAAATGGCAATCATATTCCCTTTAATCTGAGCCTTGGAAAGCCCCCATAAATGGTAGCCTCGTCTGGTCAGCTTTGACAGAACACCGATGTCCCAATCTTCATACGTTTGCAGCATTCCATCTCGAGCGCTCTCCAGGCTAGGTCTGTATCGCCGAGATAGTCAAGCGATAGTGACAGTCATAGAGATCTTTATACCTGTCGATTTGGACAGCTGCGAGTTTTGCAAACACCCACCTACTGTTCTTCACAATGCAGACGTCTCAGATATCCGACACGCAGGCTTCCGAGAAATCAGACCAGGAGAAGCAGTTGTCTCCCGTGCGCACCGCTGAATCTGTTCATCAGGGTCAGATCACGTCCGATGAACAGGAGCAGGGGGACTTACACCGAGATTTCAGTCCACGGCATATTCACGTACGTTCTATCGAACTATATACACCCCTCCTTCGCTGCTAGGTCTGACGCATGGCCATAGATAATATCCCTAGGCTCTAGCGTGGGCAGCGGGCTTTTCATCGCGACTGGCAAGGCGTTAGCAACCGGCGGCCCCGGCACTATGTTCCTGGCTTACTTGATTGTATGTACTGGAGTTTGGTCCAATCTCCAGAGCCTGGGTGAGATGACCATCGCTTTCCCTGTTTCTGGTAGCTTCGTCAACTATGCTGGTCGATGGGTTGATCCTGCTCTAGCCTTTGGTGCAGGTTTTGCCGAATGGCTCGGTAAGTCTGCGTCCCAATCTTCATATTCATTGTCTCCATCGTCATATGTCCTTCCCACTGACCAGGAGGAAACAGGTTGGATCGCAGTATTCGCAGCTGAAGCAGAGTTCTTCGTCGTTTTAATTGAGTACTGGACGACTGCAGTACCACACGCAGCTTTGAGTCAGTTATTCTCTCTCTCTCTTTATCTTGAAAGATTTCAAACTGACTAACGCGTGAACAAATAGTCTCGATCTTTCTATGCATTTGTCTTGTGGTCTTCTTCCTCCCGAACAAGTTCTTCGCCTGGCTTCAATCCATTGGATCGCTTGTCAAGATCATTCTTTTCGTCTTCGTTATTTTCCTCTCTCTTGCATTGATCGCTGGCGCCGGCCCCACCGGATCTGTCAAAGATGGAAGCTATTGGCGTGAAGGAAAGGCATTCCAGAACGGATTCATGGTAACCATTCGGCATCCACGTTTAGCGGAGCTTCTCGGCCACTGACATATGTGATCCTAGGGCTTTGCGAGTTGCGCACTTCTAGCTATCTGGGCAGTTGGCGACCAGGTCTTCATTGGCGTCATGGGAGGAGAGGCCAGCTCGCCAAGATATTCGATGGCCCACGCGTCAACTCTGGTCCCGATACGTGTCAGCTTCATGTATCTGGTCTCCGTTATCTTTATCGGCATCATAGTCCCATCAGATGACCCCCTTCTCCTCGGCGGATCTGGCTCTGCGGCCTCGCCTTTCGTCATCGCAACGCGGAACTCAGGCCTGGCGGGAATTCCAGACTTCATCAATGTCTGCATGATCATTGGCATATTGGCCATTGCGCTGGAGTCGATATATCTTCCCTCTCGGATCATCCGTACCATGGCTTTTCAAGGTCTGCTTCCGGAGGTTCTGGCAAAGTGCGACGACAAAGGCCGTCCTCGATGGGCTCTTTTCATCAGCGCCATTGTGGGTGTTATCTTGAGCTACCTCAGCTTGAGCAGTAAGATCCCTCATCCGTTTATTCAGCATCGAGATAGACTAACTTTAGGTGAAGGTGGTGGAACCACGGCGTTGAATTGGTTCATTTCGATCACGAGCGCCTCATTTTTCAGCAACTGGGCCATCATTGCTTTGACGAACTTGAGGTTTCATGCTGCTTTGCGAGCACAGAACGACAAGATATTTAGCCAAAACTTTGCCTGGAAGTCTATCGCCTGGCCGTTTGCACCCATCTGGGGTCTCATTATATCCTCAATGCTTCTGGTCTGTCTGGTTTATGCGGCTGTTAACCCTTCGGTGAGTAATTCAGGTTAAAGTCGCTGGGGCTTCTAAGCTCTGTACCAATTCGTAACTGACATTCCTTTTGCAGACCGATTTCTCGGCCGAGAACTTTTTCGAGTACATGATCGGCCTTCTCATGATCGTGGGTGCTACGATTGGCTACAAGCTCGTCAGGCGCTCGCGTTGGGTCGATCCAGCGGAAGCTGACTTGGTAACCGGGCGGCATATGCTGACAGACGAAGAAATTCAATTTCTCAACGAATACTACAGTAGACCTTTGTGGAGGAGGGTGATGACTTACCTGTCATTGGTTTGAGAGAACAACGTCTTGTTTAATATGGGGAAGGACCGTTTGTGACTCCAGAGTCCACCATTTCATTCTTCTGGCTTTGTTGCCAAGTTCCCATTCAAATGAATAAGACGCATTATGACCGACATATCCGTGAATCAGTCAATTCATTGTGCAAAATGAAGTATGCCGACGCCGGTGTGATCGGCGACGTTGGCGCATAGACTCCCCGGACGCCGAGTCACGCTACGGCATCTCCATCCGGGCGGCGATGTCATCTGTTCGGCTGTGGGGGCCACGAACCCCGGGAGCCAAGCAACACCCGCTTACATATGAACCCATGCCTGGCTATCAACACCCGGCAATACATGCGGGGAAGGGAGAAGGATTTCACAGTAAATTAGGTCTGATAAGAAACCCTAGTGGTTATCGTTGAAACCTGCTGGTTTTGAGAATACTTCTGTATGCACTACCGGCTGTAACCCCGCTGCGTATCCCGAGGTGAACGTTGATAATGTAGCTTGACTGCCCAGCACTGCCTCATATGGGCTAACATAGTGGCTAATCATAGTTCTTTGCATTTGGGCACCATGTCCGAGGACAAACAGACTGTCGTTATCGCCGGTGCCGGTGATCTTGCGCAGTATCTCGCCGAGGAGTTCAAAGTCGACAACACGCACGATGTTCTTCTCATATCCCGAAAGGAACGCAAATTCTTCACCAAATTAGGTGTGACTACTCACGAAATAGATGAGTATTCCACCGACAGCGTCTTAGCTGTTCTCGAACGAGCCAACGCGACTGTTCTGATTTCGACCCTGCACACCGACGATCCGGCGCTCTACACGTCATTGCATAATGCACTTCTCCTGGCCTGCAAGGCTTCAAAGACATGCAAGAGGTTTATACCCAGCGAGTTCCTGGGAAACTTGCGCAAATTTGACAACATCCCACGCGGAATCGCTCGCGCGCGGAGAGCCTTTCGCTCGGAGTTGCTGAAAGAGTCCGAAATCAAGTGGACTCTTGTTAATCTTGGATGGCTAGCGGACTACTTCGTTCAGCAGCCTGATGGGTCAAGAAGCTACATTCGTCCCTTTCCTCAAGGATGGCCGATCAATATAGAGGAACGGACCGTTAGAGTAATTGGTACTGGGGATGAACCGATGTGCTGGACAGCGGCACGAGATGTAGCGAAGGCAGTTGTGAAGCTCGTATCTCATAACGAGTGGCCTGATCATGTCTACGTATTCGGAGAGATTGGATCCTGGAACCAAGCAATCGAGAAGGTCGAGCGCTACTATGAAATTATGTTAACTGTCAGTTGGTCCTATACCCTGTACGAATATAGACTGACTTGATAAACAGCGAACACACGTCACCAAAGACGACATATCTCGAGACTTAGCTAATGAGGCAGAGGTCGGAAAGTGGTACAGGGCTACGATTGATGAGTGGTCACTAGCTGGTGCAACCGCTGTGCCTCTGGAAGAAGCACTTCATCAGCGCGAGAGGTACTTTGGGGAGGTTAAGTTCAGAGATATCAACGAACTATTACGTAGCTCGGAACATATGCAGATCATTTGAGCGATAGTAATAACATGAGACAGGTTATGCCCTCACCTCCTCAAGCTGATCCAACTGAATGTCGCCTTGCTTCGAATCTACGCGAGCTTCCGAGGCATGCTGGCCTGGTTGGACTGTTCTTCCACCAGTCGCGTAAACTCCGCCCGTGATACCACCTCTCGTGAACAGGAGCGGGATATCTTCCAGCTCGAGTCCTTGGGTCTCTGGGTAGAAGAAGTAGACCATGGGTATGAACAGGACGCTTAGAATGACGAAAATGATGAACGTTCTCCACTCAATGTTTGCTTGTGAATCCCCGTCAGTCCGCTTCAAACACTGAAGAATAGTCAAACCCAACGAAGGAAATAGGGGTAATCTTCACCACAGCAAAGACGGCCATCCAGTTCCAGCCAGAAGCAATTACCTGCATTTTGGAGCGTACTCGGGTGGTCGAAAGTTCAGACGGGTAAAATCTCGGGACCTAAAATCGTTTAGTCTTTATGCATACGCTTCCAGCAGATTTCTGTACTTACAGGAAGCCATCCAACGCCGTAGAAGAGCTGGAATAGGAAGATGAAGGCGAATGCTCCAGATGCAGCTCCACTGGAGCCCCTGGTCAATAGTATTGTAACCACGACAAAGCAGATGCCAGGAGACTATGACATTGAATACGCGTCACCTTGGGCGGGAGCAGCCTTTCAACCGTATGTCATACCCACATATTCAGGATTGGCATGAAAAGAACTGACGGAAGATTTTAGTATGTCCGAAGAAGAAGACAGCAGATGGGAACGCCGTACTTGGCCAGAGCTGTCACAGCTGGCATCGTCTGTCCCTGAAGCTGGTATCCATTTCCAGAGTAAGCCATCGTCTCTTATAGTTCTGATATACTACTGGGCTAGTCATTCCAGTCATGTTTTGATGCTCATGTCAAGTAGGAACTCACATCTAACGCCAGAACAAAGACTTTGAAGGCGATGACGTGCCTTTTGGACCACTTTTCTCTCCAAACTCATGGCTTCGTGGTCTATTCTCGGACTACCGCGACCTTGAAACAAGAGGAACTTCCCAAGGGAGTAGACTCTGGTTTTAAGTACACAGGTGTCTGCATCAACACATCTCTTTATCTGCCCTGGCTACTTGGTCAATGCAGAGCTCAGGGGGTTATTCTCAAGCGTGGTGCAGTCTCTCATATCGACGACCTAAAGACGATGCACCACAGCGGAAAGCCTGCCGACGTCCTCGTCAATGCTTCCGGTCTTCTGGCTCGTGATTTAGGGGGCGTTCTCGATAAATCCGTCGTCCCCATCAGAGGTCAGACTGTCCTGGTGCGGAATGAAGCAGGACCTCTCTACAACATATCGGGAACGGATGACGGAGATGCCGAAATCTCGTATTTGATGATGCGCGCATCTGGAGGAGGTACTGTGTTGGGCGGCACTTACGACAAGGGAAATTGGAGCCAGGAGCCTGATATGAACATCGCCAAGCGGATCATCAAGCGTTGTGTGGCGTTGTCTCCTCAGCTTGCGAATGAAAAGGGGGTAGAAGGTGTCGAAATCATAGGACACGGAGTTGGCTTGCGGCCCTGGAGAAAGGACGGTATCCGACTGGAGACGGATTTCGATTTTTCAACAAAGGAAACTCTAGTGGTCCACAACTATGGACATGCTGGCTGGGGATACCAAGGCTCTTATGGTTGCGCTGAGTACGTGGTTGAGCTTGTCGAAGGTTTCCAGAAGGATAGAAACGTCGTCGATGAGGCAAAACTTTGGAGGTTCTTGCATTTATTAAGCTCTGCAATAGTCGAGCGAAGCACCATACCTTAGGCCGGTTATTACAGACCGCCTATTTTTCCTGTGCTATGTTGACTATTTTTCCTGTAGCTATTCTACCTTATCGTCATACTTTAATCGTCGTCGTCGCTTCTATAGTTATTATCGCTTCTGTTATCGCCGTCGTTTATACCGTCGTCGTTGTCGTCGTCCTCGCTAATACTATCGTCTCGGACAGGTGTAATTAAATACACAGGAAATATAGCCACGCAGACACAGGCAAAATAGGCGGTCTCGGTTATTAGGCAGCATTATTCCACCTAAGGCGTGATCACGCGGAAAGACAAATGTTTAGAACGGTTCCACATACAATTGTATGAAGGATTCCAGTTTGCACCAGTCACAAGTAAGACCATAATGGTTTGGGTTGTGTTTGGTGAAGTCAAGTCTACTCCGAATTTTGCAAGACGCCTCAAAGCCTTGGGAAGATAAAACTTCAATCTATGATTTCCCCTGCCCGCTTCTAACCCAATTGCCGACTCCCTTGGTTGCGCTCGCCTCTGATAGAGAAATCTAGAAGTTACAGCAATGGAACTTCCCATCCGACTGCGTGTGGCAGTCTTTGCTGAAGCACAGGCCCTTGCAGTTGGAGTATGTGTCAAAGCCTTGAGGCTGGCATGCCTTAGCAGCCTGAGGGGCGGCGCTGACGGCGGTTGCTGCAACGAGGCAGAAGATGACTTCGAAGAATCTCATGTTGGAGCTACACATCATATTAGAGGATATGATACCAACAGAAGTATCAGTTGCTGGAGATACTGACTTGGTGGTGCGTATGCGCGCGTAATGAGGTTTTCTTGATATTTGGCAAGAGCCGAAAGACTGATAGCTGGTTTGGAGGCTTTGGAGTTCCTGTAGTCGATGATCTGCATACAATCGGGGAGAGATATTCTGCCTATTTATATTTGGACTTCTTCCATATCAGCTGCAAACTTCGTGATATATAGTTTACCAAAGCGAGTCATTTCTCAAATTCTCCTATATCTGACAAGCTTTCTTACATTCCATGGGTATAGGCTATTTTGAACCCGAAGCCATCGTGAAAGCTGAGTTCTAGCCCATGTTGTAGTTACAGGTGGGAGCCCAGCCAATAACTCAAACCTCCCGTCGGCTGTCATATACTTGACTTTGTGCCACGGCGGTGTCATGAATGGGGCCTCCATGTCTGATAAGTCGCCGCCGCTAAGTAATCCTGCGTCTTGCATGGCGGGGCCTCCGGGCGATAAACTTCCCTTTGGAAGTTAGGCGCCGGCTGGAGAAAAGCGCGCCGAGCTGACAAGAACTGAGGTGTAGCCGGAGATAAAGACAAGCGCGTGTCTTCGGGTGTTATGAACTATCACTTTCAGAGTCTGCAAAGTTTCTTCCTGTAACTACTATTCAAGTACGCGTAATCAGACAACTTGTAGAACCGCAAAGAGTATTTCCTTTTAAAGTTTGCAGTTCTGTGACTAGTCATGAGTACTTGGATGCCCATGGCCTTAAGGTTTGAGCAAGTAAGACGGCATGAGAACAGTTTCCGAGGGGAAACGTACGGCAGAGGATTACGAAATATCCGGCCCTTGCCAGTTCCGAGTCATTTCCCCTAGGGCGCAGGGGAATGCGACGAGCTCGTTAGGAAGCCGGTATGGCCGCGTAATTTATTTAAGCTCGGTCAGAAGTTCTCTCTGCCATCTGAATGCGGAGAACCCTTGAGTCTCGAACGATTCCAGCAGACTGGTCAGAAAGCTTATTTTGACTTTCTACTCCTTTATCCAAGCTCTAGACTATTTTTGACCATTAACTCGGCGATGAGTATATTCTACAATAAAGTGTCCAACAAAGTGCCATGGCTAGACATCTACTTATGAGACTGGCCAGAACATGAATATCTCCATCAACTAGTGATATGAATGCTTTTCCCGTATGTACGGATACACCAGTATTTCCCAGCAGTCTATCAAATCGCTTTTCAGATCTGCCGTGAATTCTCGGACTACTCCATCTACTAGTGTGCTTCGGCTCCCACCGCCGTAGTTCGAAGCTTATTTGATCGAGCTACTGTCCGGTCCGAGCAGGTCGTGATGGCCGGCATGGGTGTCACGGTGTCCCCAGTGCATCGAGCTGATGGAATCGCTACCCTACCATACTCTTCAACCTGGGTTACCATGAACGCATCTTGTCCGGAGAGACCCAGCTTCAGTATGAGGGGGTGGCTTAGATCGGGCTGGACGCATTGCCAACTTCGTCTCGAATTGAGCCTCCTAGTGCACCCGGTAGATGACGAGGACACAAGACTTCGCGTTCCACCGTCCACAATCTGCTTACTGCTCTGCTGTTTGTTCTACACAGCCATTACACAGCCCAGAATACCAAAAGTAAGACGGATCAACTTTTATGCTTCTCGCCATTGTTGCCCATTCCTTCGTCGCGAGCGGCCAAATGAGAATCGCAGTTAAGAGCCAGCGGTGGAACAGCCAGTTGTAGATTTCATGCGAGGTAACCCTCCTCGTTGATAATCGGCTGTGATACTTGGGTTGCAATCGTTTGCCAGTGCTTCATGGAACCGAAACGATTGAACGAACGCCTCCAGACTGCGTCGTGGCCTCGGTTCCTAGATTAGAATGTGACTCAACTATCCGAAACCAACCTGGCGCAGACTCCCGAAGTGACAACTCGTCTATCAGATCGACAAGACTAAGTGTGACAACTCATGCAAGCAAGCTGCATGCTTGAACTGTTGGAGGATTTGGCCGAGATACGGCCTAGTCAATTATACCGTCACGTCCTGTATTGACGGCGGCATTGGAGTATTCGTATGTCAACCGTTTTGTCAGATCGATAAACGCTTTCCGAGGGGTTGTTTCTCTGAATAAGGACTGCCGTTCCCGCTTGTATAGTTACTTCAGACTGTCTTCCCATCTCTTTTTTTGGTGGGTCTGTGAATGCAATGGCCGAAGACAAGTCTGAAGAGCCTCCAATACATCAGCCTTCTTCTCCGTTCTGCTACACCTCTCTAGGACAGATGTTTGGTGCGGCAAGATGGACGGAGTGTTTATTGAACCGGATCTTACAACTACACATGGCACCCGTTAGTAGGGTGTCGAGCACTACATCAAAGGCATCACCTTCCAGCTCTTGGCTGTTTTACTCAAAGGCTATGCCTCACTGGATTCTAATTCAGGTACGACGTGCGTGACAATGAGACGAAATTTGTCTGTTTTATTCGCACGTATGAAGGCAAAGATGTTATTCCGGGCCCCTGAGTATGTATACTGCGATCTTCTTACCGGACGAAGCACCGGCCGAAGTGCTCTTACTGGATTTACCTACTATATACCCTCTTACAGGGTGGGTTACGAAACTTCCTCAACATGAAGGTAAACATGTGAGACAGGCCTAAAATTTGAAGACGGAATTCAGCAGTAGAAGTATCACAGATCCAAACAGCCTTGGTAAACACACGTGTATAAAGAATCGCCATGTTCTTCTGAATTTAGCTCGAATCTTTGAGTCAACAGTCAGACAACATCTGAACATCACCGCAACTACAAAGAATAAGGCAAGCTGCGATTTTTACTAATTTTCAAACCCCTTTGTCCTCCTGTATATATCTTATCTGACTTATTTAGGGACCAGACCCAAGCAGTAGTACTCATCTACCAACCATGCATTTCGCCATCTCCCTCGTTATCTCCGTCCTCGCCATCACCGCACAAGCGGCCGTTTCCAATCGCGATTCCACTGCCATGACCCTGCACAAGCAATTCGTCGATCGGCAACACCAGGTCTTCTCGCTCGACAAACGAGACTGTGTGAAGACCGGGTGCAAGTGCGATACCCGCGGCTATCAGCGAAGAGTCTGCGGGGCCTGCAAGCACCCGGACACCAAGAAGTACATCGTCACGAGGAAGAGGGTCAGAAACCACATATACGAGTGTTCGGCTGATGGCGAGTCTTGCTGTGACTATGGGATTGCTGATGATTGTGGCAGAAAGGGGCAGAGATGCCTCTTTGTCTAGAGGGGTCTTCAACGCTACGGAGGGATTTTGACGACAACTGGCAATGGTAAACTGTTTCGAAGGATTGTTTCCTTTTAACATTCATTTTCTCAGAAGTTACTAGTCACTCTCTTAGCGGAATTTGAATGCGGTACGCACAGCTCAGCTATCAGTAGAGGGCATCCAAGGCAAGGATCAAAGTTATCCAAAATTGTTAATGACGTTTTACATCTGCTTCTGCTGCCATTGAAAATTCTCGGGAAAGTGATGCCCTAGTCAAATGATACTATCAACGCATTCATCCTCAAAGTATCCTAATAGAATACTGAAGACCCATCAAGCCAGGCAGCGTGGATGAGGCAGCCAAAGACAGGTAACCCAGAGCCCATATTTGGTTTCAATGCACAGCACTTGGTTCCATACTTGTAGACTCCCTTGTTGGATTCATGATGATTCTAAAAGAGTTTAAGACTTTGATGGTATGGCAATACCGAGCCACCTGAGGGAAGATGTTCCCCGGGCAGCTTGCAGTAAGGCTCACGGGGGAACATGACTGCGGCCTCAGGACCTCATTCATGACGGTGAACGCTCTAGTAAACAAAGAATCTTTTCTCTTTTGTTTTGATTTCATCCTCGTGGCTTCCACGAGATTCTCTTCCCTCAGACCTCCTCACTTGCTACCACTCATCCTCGAGCTTCGATCATAGGCTCGTCCTGACACAGATGGCGGTCAGCAACCATCAATCCTCCGAAGATGTGGGCATGGCCGACGCTCCAGAGAAGCCACCCGCCACGCCTGAAGAGCGGGAAAAGTTCATGGAGCAGAATTTCACCAGCGTGCTGCGCCAAGAAAAGCGCACACTCCGGAGCTTCTACGATGCCCAGGAAAAGGGCGCTGCGAAGTGGCTCGTCAACAGAGGTGTTCAGGTTGTCTCGGCCTCGTGGTTCGAGTGGGAGGTTCACGGAAAGGTCTGGGCCAAACTTTTCGCCACAGGTTTGTCACCATCGTTTCCCATTTTCATTGTTCCGTACATACTAACCAGCAAAAAGGGCTGAAACAGACCCAGCAGACCGACGTCGGAGAGTTTCCTTGGATACATGAAGAGCTCAGCATGGCTCCCGCGAGCCCTACCGACGCGTCCCAGTTATTCGCCGAACTTAGACTTGCAGTCATCCGAGAGAACAGCCTGCCGGCCCTCACCCGCATCGAGAAGCGTCTTCCGTTGATGAACGAGGAGCCGTAGATGGCGCGCAACTTCAGGGGCGGAATGGACCTTGCGCTCCGCCAGAACATCTCGGACGATGTCTTCCTCGGCGAGCCTTGTGTGCCTGGCCATCCATTCGAGGTAGTCATCCCCTTCGCTGAAAAGCTCCGCACTCATGGTGTCCTCGATGCCGAAGAGCTGCGAAAGCACCTCCCCGCCGCCGTTCATGGTCGAATCGTCCGTCGCCTCAATCCCAGCGGACACTACGTCTCTGTCATCGTCTTCGGCCTCGCCCCCAACACCTTCGATAACCCGATGAATCGCATGAACCTGGCCCTGAGCTATAACATGGCGCTCAACTGAGCCAGGAAGATCGTCGTCACCGGCACCAGCTGCCCTGTTTCCGACGCATTCAAGAACTTCATGATCAGGCCCGTCCAGAGGGAAAGTGAAGGCGCTTCGCAGGTCGTTGGTCTGGCAGAGCAAAGAGCGTTCACTGATGAAGAGCTGAGGCGATGCGAGCGCGACCTCGCACTCATGCCGTGGACATCAGAAGCAGACTATGCCGCCTACCGCGTGGGCCAATGGCTGCAGCAGCAAATCGCCCTCACACCGGTTCAGGATCGCTACAACCTTTTGCGAAAGTGGTGCCAGCAGAAGCACACCAATCTCGAGAACCTCAAGTCGGTTGATCTGAGAGATGCCTGCCGCCTTGCTTGGGAGAAGAAGATTTCGGAGTGGATGACGGAGCGAGAGATCACCAGCTGGTCCTGGAACATGGAGACCTTCTACGCGAGACAGATTGCAGCCGTCGACTGCTAAGGAAGAATCCGAAGCTAGAAGAGAAAGATCAGCACCATTACACAAAGTCCTGTGGGAGATTCTGAATGGTTCAGATGCGACAAAAGACAACAAGAGGGCTTTGTATTGATCATGTTCAGACGCTTTGTATTTACTCCCATAGCACCCGTCTAATTACCTCCCAATCATGCTTTTTCTCCTTTTACATAATCCCGTCCGATCCAAGCGCCCCTCCAAACCCTCGTTTCAGATGACGTTCTTCAGCGGCTGGCCGGCCAGGAACCGTCTCAAGTTGTACGCCGTCAGGGCCTCCGCACCCTGGGGCCGGCCGCCAGCAGCGTGCGGGGAAACAATAACGTTCGGCGCCTTCCACAGCCGGCTCGATTCGGGCAACGGCTCCGTGACAAACACATCCAGCGCGGCGCCGCCGACCTGACCGGACTCGAGGGCATCGACCAGCGCGTCCTCGTCGACGGAGGTGCCGCGGCCGACGTTCACGATCCAGGCGTGCTTGGGCAGCAGCTTGAGGCGCTCGGCGTTGAGGGCGTTCTTGGTGGCGTCGGAGCCGGGTAGGATCATGACGAGGGCGTCGGTCTCGGGGAGCAGCTCGGCGAGCTTGTCCTCGCCGTAGACCTCGACGCCGTCGCGCACGCCCTGGCCGCGGGCGATGCCCTTGACCTGGGCGCCGAGGCCGCGGAGGTGGGGGGTGAGCGACTTTGCGATGTTGCCGAAGCCCCAGATGAGGACGCGGGCGTCGCGCAGGGTGGTGAAGGCGCCGGCGGGGCGATCGGGCTGGGGCCCGCCGAGGTGGCCGGGCCACTTGTTCTGGAGCTGGTAGTCGCGCATCTCGTAGAAGCGGCGGGCGGCGTTGAGGAGGAGGCCGAGGGCGTGCTCGGCGACGGTGTGGTCGTGGAGGCCGGAGCCGGTGGTGACGGTGATCTTGGTGGCGTCGAAGCCGGCGTTGAGGACGTCGTTGGGGCCGGCGGCGAGGGACTGGATCCACTTGAGGTTCTTGAGGCGGCCAGCGGCGTCCTTGAGGTTGTCGGCGGAGTTGGTCCAGGTGACGAGAATCTCGGCGTCGGTGTGCTCCTCGGGGATGGCCGTCTTGACGTCGTAGGGGACGAGCTTCACGGAGAAGCCCTCCAGGGACTCGATGTCGAGCTTGAGGGACGTTGGGTAGAGGAGCTTCATGGCGGCGGTGGTATCTGGGGCTGGATCTAGAGTTGATGTGAGTATTTGGCCCGGCTCAACTTGTGGTGTTGGAAGATGGAGGGTTCGTACCTTGGGATGCGGGATTACGGATCTGGTGAAAGCAGAAATATCGTGAAACTGGAAAAGAAACCGCGCGTGGTGAAGAGCCGTGGGTTGTATGGGGTTTTACCTACTCGGCAACAGATTGGCCGACCGACAGCGATGACGGAGGAACGGGATAGCCGCGATTTCGTCTAAAATAGCGTGCTCCTTCCCTGCCATGGTGGGGGAATACACACACTACAACGCTTTGGAGGCACAAAGTGGGGGGTAGTGCCCCTCCCCCTCACGACAAAATGGCGGGGTTCTCTGGAAATGAGGGACGAACACCGACACTGCGATGCCCCGACTCGCCGCGAATTGCCGTTAAATACGTGGTGGCCCACGCTTGGGCGCACCCAAATCATCTCTGACTCGTCCAAACGAGCAAGGAAGGTTGAGAAGACATCGGGAGAAATTGCTCTATTGGTCAATGGATGAATAGCCGGCACAAACACCGAGATGGTGTGCCACTTTCTGCCACTTTCCCGGATTTAAATCCGCGTCGGCAATGGAACCAACTTGTCTACACAGGTCCCCCAACCCCCATTGTTCCATGATGCATCAGACTTCTCCTCGTGACCGATCGGTGTGTGGTGCTTCACCTTTGCCATCGGCTATCTGTCAACTTAGCTTCCGGGTATCCCATCCTCGCAAACGCATCGGCTCCGGCCAGCTGCACTGGATGAACCCGTCCAAGATACGGAAGTGCGGTTGGAGGAGTCCTGCGAGAGGGTTCTCGCTGCCTTTAATAGCCGATGTTAGCTTTACGAATGAAATTCATGCCTCTTGTGTCGACCACTAATAGTCTCAAGGTTCTTTCGTAACCTTTGACGATCGAGATCGGTAGCCGGTTGCCTCCCGTCGACAGACTTTCGGATCGGGAAGAGGTTCGGCTCGGTGCTGCTGGGCTAATTTCCAGCCAATCTCATAATGCCGTGATAAATCAATGACTAGTCGAGACTGCATGCAATGCCAGGTTGTCATATGTCCATTTCGATGGCTGCAGTGTAATGACTCTTGGTCGAGGGATGTTCGTATGGTTTAAGATGTAGTGCAGGATTTCTAGTCCACAATTCCACAACAGATGTGTTGAGGATAGCCTTTCCGCGCCAAGGACGGGAATAATTCAAAATCCTTTCTGCGAAGGCCATCATCTGTGATGCCTCTCGGATGTGCTGCGTGGGCGCGGGCTGTTCTGGAAGCACAGGTTGACTTGGCCTGGAAAACGTCTTGGAGCCCTTGTTCAGAGTACTTGAGCTTTCAAGTACTTGATAGCATATATGATCTTATTTTCCCCTTCTCTCTGATGCATAGAGGAAGGTTTCTAGGGGGAGGAAAGGCTTGCCAACGGACACATGCCGAGGTATCTGCCTCGTCCCGAACTATGCGACATTATCGGGTCAGAACAATGAATGTTTTTCGACTCTTTTGGTGTGAGGTGCTGGGGACTCAGCCTCGAGTGATGAAAGCAAGACTAAATGAATAAAGAAAAAAGAGAACCGACGAGGGGTTAGGAGGGTAAAGGATATTTATACCCGCTGAGCCCCTGAGACAGCAACAGGAATGCATGTAAGTCTTCTTGGCTATCTCAAACCGAGTACATGTTATGAATGACATTACACGTTTACTCAACGGGAATGTTGCCATCAATTTCATGTCTTTGCAGGAGTTGGCCCACAATACAGTCTTCCTCCAATGCACTACAGGACTATCCCATTAACCGCGTTGGACCACGGTACTTCTCATCAGCGGACGCCTTCAGCCTTCCCCTAATTCGCACAATAATCATTATTTACTAGAGAATGCCGTCGATTTTTTCTGATTGGGTAAAGATCTGGAGGCCACCAGCACTTCATGGGATGCCACGTCCTGAAAGAGTAGATTGGCAAGGAAGGATCTGATTCTAGACTTCATATGGATTCCTGAATCAGTAAAGATCAGCTACCTGGGCTGTTATTCGTTGATCTCAGTGTGGGGGCTCTGCAGTAGTGTCAAGCCTTCTAAGTTGGTTCTCTTCATCCATAGTATAACGTACCTACTTACTATAATGAGGTTCCAAATCACGAGAAGCAGACTTCGATGAGCTACTACATGTCTTTTGATGCTCTTGTGACCCGGACTGATCATCATCATCAGGCTTTGAGAGGTCCATGATGTGTGACGTGGCTGCTGCCGAAGCTGTTGGAGCAAGGATTGTATTTGCTTCTCGCATGTTGGAAGCCAACGCAGAACCAACAAGCAACAGCTGAGACAACGGTTTTGGGCCAATCATGAATCAAAATAAGATTAGAAGGATCCGCAACTCAAATCCTATCCACGACGTCTAATTTCTAGTCTTTTGTCGTTTGTTTTCGCTGGTAGCACCACATTCGCGATCTACGATGCATTCCCGTTGGGTGAGGCGTCCTTTCACGACAATACGCTTCCATTGATACCATTGTTTTCACAATGAAATTCTTGACGCGTCATTCTGAACTTCTCTGAGACTTCAGATCTATTCATTTGTTCTTCTAATCTACCGTAAATCGGTCTTCCGTGGTCGCGTCGCAACAATGGCCCTCTCCGTTACCCCTTTTCTCTCCGCGTCAACCACAGACGACGAAACCACCACATTCGTCACTGCGACAGTTGTAAAGACCGCAGTCGTCCGGTTGAGTCGATCTACAATCATCTTTACGCTTGGTACTGATTCCGTTCTTTCCACTGCGCAGACGACTTCTGCAGAAACGACACGCGTGGATGCGACAACTTTTCAGCCAACGGAAGCCACCACGACAACGACGACGACGCCCGAACCCACCACAACGTACAGTTCCGCCCAATCCACCACTGCTGAGTCAAATTCAACGACGTCAAGTTTATCTACCACGACCTCAACACCTGCATCTAATGGCATTCCCCTAGCAACGAGCATCGGGGTGGGCGTCGGCGTCGCTCTCGGCATTATTTTGCTCGCAGCCGTTGGCTTCTTCATGTGGTACAGACGACGCAAACGCAGGAACAACATTCAGGCATCTATGGTCGCCGAGACGGGACAAGCGGATGGGTTTCGGGCGGAGAAGGCAGGTGTCAACGAGCTTGACGGGGCACATACGGAGAGATTCTGGGGACGTGCTGAGCTGCCGGGTGGTCACCGCTTATCGGAGCTGGATGCCGGGCCCGTGAGCTCGGCATCCACGCCGAACGCCTTCGGCCGGAGATCGGAGATGGCAGCAGATGATACCCCGATGGCATAGGAACAGAGTGCCGAGACACGGTCTGTGGCGCTGTGATGAGGAAAATTGAGTTGGATTAAGAGTTTCCTGTCAACCCAATTAATACTAATTTTCTAAACTTTAACATACGAAGTTCAGTTCAACCTACATGAAATTCCGTGACAGACCATGAAGGTAGAGGGCTCCAAAGGGTCTTCGAGGATAGGCCCTGGTATCTGAGTTCAAGTGTCTGGGCCCACCTAGACACCCGGAAGTCACTTAACGATGTTTCTTTTCTTTTCTCTTCTTTCCAGCTGTTTCGAGACCTAGTTTCCAGACACAAAGGGTGTATGAGAGTATTATCCTGCATCCGAGTCCTGACCATTGATATCCCGACTCCTTACCACATCCTTCCATGTTGGTAGGTCTGTTTCTCTGCGTATCAAAGTTTTCAATACCGTTAGCTAAGGGCGCTCCGGGTATGGACTTTGTTCAATACCCATCATGTACCTCGCAAGTCATTGTCATAGATCAAAATTAACGGAAAATGTCTTCATCCATATATGCTAGCTTGGTGGCTTACATGGCTTACATCGGCCCGTTTAGAAAGTTCAAATTGATCTCATGCACGGTTGAAAGACACATAGAAATAGGTAGTACAAGGGTCAGTATGACTACGTCGTTTGACTATTTTCAATGACATGTTCAACAACTAGGGATGGATAGATACTACCTTGCTAAGATTATCCGTGGCCCTCTTGGAAAATAGCACATAACTAAAGGACATCCCGTTGAAGTTGAAAAGTAATTAGCTCTCAAAACTGTCAGTTTCTACTCGTTGCTCGAGTTGACTTTCAGAGTCGAGCGGTCATGATCCCGTCTTCACACTACAATAGATACACGAACATTTGAACCGGATGGCCGAAAGGTGTAAGTGCATTGGGAGCATTGATAGCTATCATGGAGTTCAGTCACATAATATGGATGTAACGTGCTATGCTAGCTAGGGTTACTATCTGAATGGCAATATCCCTCCAACCAATGTCCGAGTTTTAGGTAAGAGTCTATGGTGATCATCCCTTGAAAATCAAAACCTGATTTTTAAACAATGCATGTTTAAGCCAGCCCTGAATTTGCGACTCTGGCACAAATGGTGTACCACCTCCATCATCAAAGCTCAAGGCTTCGCCCCTCGGCGGGAATCCTGAAGATGTGCTTGATGAACATGCACGTCAGCCTCAACTATAACTTCATGAATGATTGGGTTCCAAGTATGTCGACTTTGGGTACGACACCCGAGCTCGTTCATGGCCATGCCGACGATCAAAGAAACTAGATCGTAGCCAGCCTGATGCACCACACCATCACACTCTCTAGTTATTATTCCAGATGCAATATGCTCGTCATCATTTTGCTGTCCTTGAAGCTCTTCAAATAGTCTTGAGCCTCAATTGCAATAAGATAGGCTTATCCAGAGGTTTTCACTGCCTTTATTGGTACACGTGTTAGAGCTACCACATATCACTTACATGACAGCCAACTCGCTAGAGATTTTGCACTTCATTTGCCGGCACATTAACAATTACAATTCAAGAGCCCAGTCAGGTTCATCATGCAACGCCCTTTTCTTAATTCAGACCTTGGTGATTCGGCTTCTTCAAATGTTGACCGCATCGCAAGGGTCATGAGGACACCAGGCTCCCGCTACTGAGCAGGTGCATGAGGCTTTATGCTCGTGACTACCGGTGTAGCTCCCCCTCTTTTTGAGCGCCAATTGTTGCAACACCCATGCAGGCTCCCATACTGGATCACATCTCCCAAGCTCACCTGATGTGAGATGATCGGGATGCCTTGAGAACCTGCCTACGTCTGCCTTAATCTAAACCAATTTGATTCCACTTATGTGACAACTTCTCTGACGATCCACATAATAATGGTTTGCCTTATTCGGCCTGAGCTATTTGCACATCCCTTGTAAATGTTGAGCGATATTTTGAATTTCTGACGAGCACGCAATATTTTGCAGCAAGATCCCTTCCAGTATGACCCCCAGCTAATGCACACTACCTACCGTTCAAGCCTGTCGGAAGGCCTCCGCTTCCCCCATAAGTGAAGCCACGTCAGGCTCCTGATCTGGAGATCTTACTAAGGGGGGTTTCCTGGCTGGATGCGAAAGAGCTGCTGCGCCTCTCTGGTGTCGCATTATGCCTCTATCTAGACTATGAAAGTCCACAACCTTCTAAATCAGCATGACCTAATGTCTAACTTCTCGGTGAATGAATATCGAGTCGCCGAGGGAGTCTTCCACACCTGTTAATCTCCAAAACGTCACAGGTATGCACTGATGGAGCATCGTAAATAACCCCATGGAAACTTTCAAGAGGAAAGATCAGCTTCTAGCGGCCACTGATGTGCAGAGTGAGGCTGTCGAATGTGGCCCGTGGTGTGGAGTCGTCGCTGCCTGGATGACATGCATCAAAAGGCCCAATTAGACCTGCAGCTGCTGGAAGAGCTCCGCGGCCCTATACAGCTTGCTTCTGATTCGACGGCGCCAGTAAGTAGGCTGGTACGATAGAACGTCTCTCGGCAGCCTGGAGACATACAAATATCCCCCTCATCTATGTGCTTTTGCCAAGGCATCTGTCGAGGAGTGTTCCTGTTTCAAGGCCCGGGGAAGAGAGCCGGTTCTGGTCAGTAATGATGAAAATCGTCGGTGAGTGTGACAAAGTGCAAAAGATCTTCCACTGCTGTGTATCACCAGAATTGTTGTCTCAGAGATAAGAAGAGCAGTGCAAAGCATAGTATTGGAACATGGCATTTTGAGCTCAAGGTTTGCGACGCACCTGTTCGCCATCGAGCGGGGTTAATCAACGATGGCCACACCTCTTACCATGTTTTTTTGGTGCTGCAATGCAACATTGCTGCGGCCGCTTCGGCGGGGTATTTGCACATTGTTCTGCCTGCTGTTGAAGCTCCCTGTGTGCGCCACAGGGCTGCATGATTCGTTCCGGATTTGAAATCATCTTCCGCGGCTGACAATCAGGCTGATGCCACGTGAGGGAATTGACGTACAGTAAAAATCCAATTTGGTGCGTTCCTCGTTGACCGAACGCAGCATATCATTGATTACCGAAGCGGTGTCAATGGCTGGCTCAGGGCTGAGGGCTGCCTTGGTAGCGGGGGATGGTCCGGACGCGAAGGACTTTAGGGCACCTCAGTTTGGTATTAGTGGTCGGATGATGTGAGATGGGAGGAAGACCTGCGGTGGAATAGGTTTCTTCTCCGTTCACGGATGACAGCTGAAGGAATGGACCCTCAAAGTGAGCACTAACTGCTGAAGTTGTTGAATCGACAGCCCAAGGATGCATGGCTGGCCGCAGAATAGGCAGCGCGAGCTTCTCTGTGAGGATGGTCGGCAGGCGCTATCCATGGATTTCTGAGGGGTAACACATGTTCAAAACTTCAAAGGCGTTGACAGCAGGACGCACGTCAACATCCACTAAGACGCTGGACATGCCTATGCCTGTACAGGGCAGGGAGAGACCCAACAACCCTTGCATGGTGCGTTCCGGCGCATGCCATAACTTCAGGGAGCGCTAATTACCTCACTATTTACCGGACATCATCGGTGTCTCGTTGAGTTTCGTGCCGCTGACCATGGTAATCAAGGGAAAGGCAGCCACGCGGCAACCGCGCTAGGTCGTTGCCTCTGCTGCGAGGGGCTGCTAATCGTCAGCTAAATATGTCGAGTTTTCATATGAGGTTCCGGCTGGGGGTTCTAAGCCAAACCCCGAAAACGAGATGGCCCCCAAAACACCACTCCTGTATTTAATGTCTAAAACACCAAGATTCCTCCTCTGTGGCTTGGACCAAGGAACTTCATGTCTCTGTCATCACTCTGCCAAGATTCGAGCGTATCTGTTCAACAGCCGCCAACGCCGAAGCACGTTGACCTACTAACACGGACCATGGAGTCCTCCTGGCCGAGAGCAGAGCAGGCAAAGAAGGCAACCATATCTGCCTGGAAGGCAACACTCCGAGAAACTCAATTGAAAACAAGTGGGTGCTTTACTGATCAGTATTATGGGTTTCATCCCAAACGTCCTTGGACTAGAGGATTTAACAACAAGGTACATTAGTGGAACCGCCATGTGGTTTCCAAGTGCGCGGGTCAGCTAGCACACTGCATTGCGGGCCGACTTCAGTGGTTTTCGGTGTCTAGGGGGCTCCTCCACATCCGGGCACTCACCGAAAGGATATCGGAGATGAATGGAGACCTTTTTGGCTTTCCACGTGCCAAAGACCGAGATTGAAGACAGAAAAAGGCAACTGCACTGCGTATGTCACTCATTATTGGCGTGCCAGTCCAGATTCTCGGCTCTTTGGCGTTCGCACCTGTATGTTCTCGGTAACTGGGGCCAGTACGGAGGGTCACAACGATGCTTCGACTGCGCCGCCCCCATTCAAGCGAAGTTTACCGACAAGCCTGTGCCATAGCCCGGTTGCCTTGATGGCTGTGAAATACGGATTCGTAAGTTCCCCGTAGGCACCTACCAAGCTTACGACTCCAAGTACGTCGCTCGTGGCTGAAGCTCATAAATCACCGTTGTCAGTGCTGGCCGAACTTTGAATGTGTCATTCCACGTGAATGGCACTCTGCAAACTCGGCCTAAGATCAATGTTTCTAGCAAAATCTCTCCAGGAAAACCACTATTCTTATCGTAATGACATGAGAAATATTTGTATTGTACTAAATTGAACAAACCCCAAATCAATACACGCCATGATATTCTTATTAGGTAAAGTAGGGGTTATTCCCTGCCGTGGTTGTGGTTTGCCGCTGTTTGATCCCAATTTATTTTTCCTCTCGCTTCTTATAATAAAAATAATATATGTCCATGAATGATTTTCTTTCAGCCCCTTCTAATGCTCTACGCCAGAATCTCCGGATTTTGTGGTTTTAACATGTAGGAAAGGCGGAATTCCAAGCACTTTATTTCGTCTGCAGATGGATAGATAGAATTAACAGCGACGTATCAAACCTTCAGAACAAACACTTTGTCTCTTCTATAGCTGTAGAAAGGTTTCAAAAGTTCCGTACTGCAGCATCCAAAAATTCCCCTGCTGTAAGAATTACTGCATCCCGTGCGCAATGACGCGATCCCAGACTTGGGTGCTTCCTACTTCAACTCCTAGAGTAGATAGTGAGAAGGGAAGAAAAATTCTGCATCAAATTCACGTAACCCTCATTCGCCCTCTTCCTGAGGAAAGCGAGTGGGTAGACGTGTTATTCTGCCATTGCACTGGTACGCCAGTTTGCTTCTACATCAGGGCACGTTGCGAAACAGATTCCATTAAGAATTAACGGACCTTCTCATATTCCTAATGGATGCGCGTTTGAACTTATTCTAGGTCGTGCGTAAATTTCCTCTTCCGCTGATCAGGCTCTTCGTGTCTGCTTACAACTAGCTATACCTATGAAAACCCGCTCAAACATTATGCGCACTCCTGGGTTGAACTACAGTGACATTGTCTCGAGTACTGCTGTTGTGAAAAGGTAGATTTCAGCTGGCCTGACTTCTAAGTCGACGACCGACGTTGATGAAGCTGACCAGGAGAGCGTCAATGCTACTATTAGTTAGGTTTACGAAACTCAGCTCGCGTGAAGAATCTACGAAGGAAACACTCGAATGCAGTAAGTAGGCTTAGTCATTGGATGTGGGCATCACAGAAACCTCAGACGTTCATGAATTCAGTGACAATGCTATGACAGATTTCATCGCATGTTATTTTCTTCTCAAAGATTGGTTCTGAATTTGCCATATCCTCCATCGTAGTCAAGGCATGTCATCGTCACTTCGCAATGGAGGTGCCTTACGGCGTACACCGTAACAAATAATTAATTGTATTGGTGAGCACATGTACTGGCTGATGGAATGCGCGCACGTATTCAAGCAGCCCATTAAGCTCGGTTTAATACCCAATTACATCTATAGAAGTCCGTTGGGCTTTGATGATGATCCAACTTACGATGCTATCCATGTATACTTGATGGGCCCAGCAAGGTCCGTTCAAGACTCCGTCAACGCCAACGCAATGCTACTGTTACACGAAGGCACACCCTTGTACCCCGCAGAGTATATAAAGCCATGCAAAGCCCCCCTCTCTCAACTCCACGTTTAGTAAAGAGAATTCACCTACACTGCACTTGCTGGCGCATCTGGGATGTCCACGTCAGCGTCTTCTCCTCTTCCCCATCTATTCGGCTGCGTTGGTGTGCCACTATCTGTTTCTGACGCTGTTGGCAAGTTGGCAATCTCAATGGCATACCGCGACGCCACGCCAAACTGCCTCAAATTCTTATCGTACGTGAGCCATGCGCCCGACGATGCCAAGCGGTGTCCTAGCCAGAGACAACGGTCCTGCCGTTCTTCCATCATGGAGGCCACTTCGAAATACTTCTCTTCGTCATCGATCTTCGCGCCGGTGAACCAGTCGGCGGGGTAGTACTTCTCTACCCAGAGGAGACCACGCTGGGCAAAATCGTCGGGTAGCGGGCGTGGGCTTTCCTTTTCGTTTCGGGGGAAGGCCTCATTCTCAATCTTGTCAAAACGTGAACAAGTGCTAACCAGAGTGTTGAGCATAAGTGAGATGAGTTTCCAGGGGATCTTGGACTCAATATGAGCCATGGCAGTCGGGAATTTGGAAAGATGGTAGAGGAAGGATAGAGTGACGTGAAGGTATGGGGTGACGCTCGGGTCACCAAAGCGACGGAAGACGACATCGTGTGTGCGGCAGGTGAAATCGAGGACATCGAGGAATTTCTGGGATGGGGCGGCGGCTTCAACCCCTTGCATGGCCGTGTCTGGTTCATCGGAGCGAGCTCCCGACTTGATCAGTCGCATGATGACGTTGGACTCGCTACCATACTCAAGTAGCGAGCAACCGAGGGCGATGCCGATGTAGTATCCGCTCTCCATCCATCGTCGCGTGGTTCGGCCAATGTGGTTATCGAGACTACCGATGAACTCGTCAACGGAGGGTGCAAGTTGTTCCTGGTTCCGGCCGGAGAACAGAATGCCGTGAGCTCGAACGAAGGCAGCATCAATTTCCTGAAGACGTGTTGGCGATCCGTTGAGGTGGGGCTCAAACAGTGTCATGATGCTCTCGCGGGCTGACAGAAAGGGAATCGGAACACACAGGCTCTTCGTATAGTAGAAGAGTTGCTGAAGTGCATTTGGGCGCGCAAGAATCGCGAGATGGTGGTACAAGCGGCCAGTTGTAGGTGCCTTGTCGCTTGCTTTTGAGTACCAATGCCTACTGACAGAAGTCCAAACCTCGCGGTCTTTCAAATCGTCATCTTCAATTGCCATACTAGATGCAAGTCAGAACTCATGAGATTCGGTATTATCACGTGACGGCAGTCAGCTTATGCTGCTTACGTACCGATATCTTCCAAGATCACCCAAGCACTCGATCCAAGTGTCTTCAAAAGTGGGCACCGTTTCATAGAGCAATGCCATCATAGAATATGCCAAATAGATGAAGGTCAACATGTGCTCTAGCGAGGCAGGAAGACGGTGCCGCAGAAGCTCAAGGAAACTGTGAATCCCATGTCTCCACATACGGGCAGGCATAGCGTACTTGCTAGCTAACCGCCGCAACGCTGGGCTAGCCGAAGGATGCTGCGACGCCAAAAAGAAATCGTGATGTTCGTGTAATAAAGTCCGATGTAACGCAATAAGGGCTTGCCATTGCTCGTTGTTAAGCTTTGGGCTTGATTCCGTCGTTGAGCTTTGAGCATTATCGACCTCAATGCACTTGCTCTCGACCATAACTAGACCAGCATATATGCCCTTGACCTCAGCGACTAACTGTTCCTGAGATATGGGACGAGTTTCCGGTTGCTTTATCAAGACTTCCGTTTGGTCAACCTCGGGACTACGAGGCTCAAACGACCGAGACGTAGGGGGTCTAGGTGACTCGGTGTTGTCTTTCCGTTTCAATGGCTCTTCTTCAGGGGACCACAGCTTCCCTGCCTTCTGCGTAGGCTCTCTCCGAAATTCGTTGTCAGACGGACGGCTGGCATTGCCAGTTGGTATAGGTGCGCGAGCTCGGCTTCGTTTGGGAGGGAGGGATGACTCCTCATTGTCTCTTTTGAGGCTTCGGTTGGACGCAGGACTCTTCAGCCTCCGGCTACGATCTCCACCCGTACTAGTTTCCTGTAAAGCGGGATCAAATTGACCGACGACAGCTGTATTGGAGACTGATTGGGATAGGTCTGATGCGGCATTGGTCCCGGTGGGTTGGGCAGGTGTGGCTGTCGGCAAGGGTTCTCGTCGGTCCTTAAGTCTGCAGATAATTGGGTTAGCGCCTGAACATGCGGCTCTGTTGATGATGACGTTACTGTAATAATGTTTTATTAATTAAACTTGTTTTGTCCGCATCGCTACGGTCGTGGTGGCTATCTTGAACATGTTTTTCGATATCTTCCCTTGTTGAGTGGGAAGGTAATAGCTTCGGACAAGCTGGGCATTTTCGTCTCAGATCTGTTTTCTGACGTCTTGAGCCAATGATTAGCTTGTCGATATCCGCCGCCTGGCTTTGTAGCGTCTTGTTGTCGGACATGATTGACCTTCTCGCGCGCGACGTGCGTGATGCTTGAATGGCCGACCAAAACCAGGGTTTGGGCCAAAGGATCGGGCAAATGATTTTCCTAAGTGATTTGAGGAAGTCCAAGTCCGATTCAGGGACATCAACGTAGCTTATCTATAGAGAAGAGCTTTCGCACTTTTCAACATTGGAAATGGCGGACAACGCGAACTGCCATTAAGCAGGCAGAAGGAGGGACTATGGCGAAGAAGAGAAGGCTAGGATGCTGGGGAAATGCAGACTCTTTGGTTCAGTGAAAGACATGGTAAATAGGGCGGCAGGATGGATGCGAACCACGTTTAGCGGCGGTGGCTGCCTTACGGTGCGCGCACCATTTCCAACGCTGTTCAGCGATCTGAGGGGGTATAGGGGGTCCCCTCCTCCTGCTTCCCTAATTTTCTTCTCTCTCTCTCCCACCACTCCAACAACTATAAGACACGAACGTCTTCCTACTCATGTCCTCGAATTGTATCGGGCATCATGCTCTTCTTGAGCTATCCACGCTGCCCGAACGCCCGACCGCGTGAGGCTGTCTGTTGCTTTCAAATGTCAGCGTGTCTTGTTGATGTCAAAACTCGTAAGTGGGTGCGGGGGGTTGGCATGCAGCCAGCCACGGTGAGCTTGGAAGACCTGTAGGGTTCGGCCAACGGTCGCATCTGGCGTCCACGTCACTGCACTTTAAATGCGAATGCACCCTTTTACCTCGAATGGCCCCGTACGGGTGCGTGGATTGAAACGACCTGCTCAAATTCCAACCGGAGTTGCGTTATTTTTTGTTTCTTCTTCTCATGTAGCCCAAACGTAAAGGTGCCCGACATTCTGGAAAATGCACATTTGCAAGCGACCCAGAGGGTTGCATTACGGGGTCAAATGACGCTAAATTCATCCATCCGCTGTCTTACATGCTTTGGTCATGCGTGTGTACAAAACCCGCGACCGCCCACTGAGGCCGAATTTATGCCCTCTCCTCTTTCCCCTCAATGCCCAGCGATATATACTCGTATGTTTCCGTTCCAGGCAGTTGCGGGCATGCAAGTCAAGTACGGGCCTTCTCTTCCATTGTGGATTTTCCATTTCTCATGATCTTGTTTCCTTCTTCATGATCTTCCTCACAAACAGCCAAGGCACCAAGACCAGCAGACACAAGTTCGGTGTCAGCCGTCATATGCTCGGATGCCTTGGGACTCTACGATGGGCCAGATTGTCTCTATTGGTGTCATGGCAATGTCACAATGCTCAGCAATATTTTCTATCTGACTGGGCTCTTTCCTTGAATGTGTTCACACCAACTTTGATTGCTCAAGTGGTTCAACTCTGCGGAACATCACTGGCCTGTTAGACCCGAAGCAGCGCGGAGCTGCGCCGCACCGTGGTGTTTACCAGTGACTACCCGCATGGTCTTCTCCGCTAGCTGGTAATTGATGACTATACCTCCCACGGATGCTTTCAAAGTTGAAAACAATTTGGAATATTTCGTCGTCAAGTTAGAAGACAATGGTGTGAAAGTCTTCGCATCATGGCTTTTGCCATCAATATTTTCCCGGTGGCGTTTCGTCGTCTCGCCACACGAACACAGCCACACACCAAATCGGTATCACCGATTTGCTGAGGGAATTACAACGACAGCTGAGGATTTGCCCGCTGAATAATACGAAAAGAAGCGGGTTTTCTGGTCGATGAACCATCCAGACTCCGGAGGAAGACTGACGATATTTTCACCGTTCGGAGATGTCCGCTGCAATGTCCGCTGCAATGTCCGAATGGGGCTGAGACCGTTTTCAGCCAAGTGGCTCAGCTGTTAACGCCGACCAATACATCGCCTTCTTGTCACGACCTCAATCAAGCTAATGAGAATTACAGATGCAATGATACGGTGGACGGGCTCAACAGGGGCGATTTCTTCGTATCCGCTCCACTGAACACATATCTCAGCTCAGCGAAGGCTTAGTATATCCCCAGAACTGAAGGGGCAAGACACACTCGGATGCCTTGATCACCAATCAGGCCGTGGGAAGGCGAAGGCAGATTCATATGAATTCACAAGGCAACTTACTGAGGGCGGGGAATACGTAATACAAAGTCACAGTCTCGTAAATCGCTAGGCATCATTCGCCTGAAGGCTTTGCCTTTGGACGCCTGGTTCCAACAGCCTTAGGAGACTGTAGTTCGAGGCCCATCGTGGTTGGTATCTGCCTGGATTAGAGCCCCCTCGGTTCAGGCTGGAAGCCGATGCTGCCGCCGGAAGAAAGAAAAACCCAACAGGCAGCAGCGGGTCACGCCATCAAGCTCGATGTAATCTTTCCTGAAGAAGAAGTTCCTGGCGTCGTGGATGCCAGTCTTTTCATGGCAATGACCTCCGTTCTTCAGTTTATTGGTCAAGAGTTTTCACAGCCGCGCACATTCAGCTGATATGTTTACCCAAACATTCACCTGGATTTCACACTTGCTAACACATGGAAATTAGATCCAGTCATCCCGAAAAAGATTGGTCCGTCGAGAATTTGGTGACTAAGGCCGAACAGCAGCGACGTCTGCCTAGGTAGCCCTGCATCACGCCCCGTCTAATCGCAGAATCCATTCTGCCCGGGGAACTTGGTCCCTTGGGTCCTTGGCCATCAGATATCGCATCGAAAGCCATAACTGCACCGAGATTCAAAAACTCTTGTCTGGCTAGTCTTGTACGTACTAGACTGGCCATTTCCCCCGGATACAGTCAGATTTACATTTGGAAAATATGACATGAGAATTCAACCTACCACTCAAAGGGCGTTGTAAAGAACCTTGCAGTTGGCTGATCAAATTGAGGCTGTTTCCAGCTTATCACCACCATCAGATCCAGATGCCTTGGACAAATCAAATCTTCGTGTGCTTGATGTGCCACAGAAGCCTAGTTCAGCAGCTCCTTGTCAATGCTGCCTCAAACTATTGATATGGCGATTGCAAGGTTTTCGATGCGGCGATTCCTATCTGCTCGGTTTGCTCAATATTGAGGCAGAAACAAGGCTTTGAATTATCCAAAGGCGATTTGCAAAATGTGGCGGGTTGAAATCAAGAAACTTTTCAGCCAATCCTAATACACGGCTGAGCTGGTAACGTGGCTATCGTCAGTGGAAACACGACAGGGTGCGCCAATGAGCCACTGGCGACCTTCGGGACCTCGTTGGCCATTTATCACAATGGAACATGTTGCTAGCCTACCGTGATCATCCGGGTTATACATTTTCCTTTTCTTGTATTGAAAGTCACGTTGCAAGTGTATGTAGGCAGAAACTGGCCCAAGGGTGAGTGCCAGCGTACGCCATTTGATCTAGGGCCAGCAGAAGGTTTAACGGCTGCTTGTGTTATTCTTAGAAATTGTATCATGGTTGGCTGTCCATCTTTGAGGTCTTGTGACCTTGATGCGTCAAGCTATCCGAGCGGACATGGACGAAAAGAAAAAGACATGACCCATTGCACTGTTGAGAAAGAGAGTGGCTGTGAAGACGACGGGAATCATATATAGCAGGGTTGATAAAAGAATGAAGTGACATGTGTAGCCTTGCAGTTGAGCCTGAAGCACCCGCCATGACAGCAAAGCTCGTCTCAGTTCTCAACCACAATCCACGCTCATACCGATCTATTTTCTTCAATACTTATTCGTTTTTACTTACACATATCAAAGTAATCAACGAAAGTAATGGGCTAATATCTGTGTCAATTCGATCATCAAAAGCTTGAAAATTTTGATCATTTGCATTCGAGGTGAGACGATCACGAACTTCAAACTTGCAGTTCACACGTTTTCTAAACATCGAGTAAAAGTGCTGGGTTTCCTGCACACCACCAAAACTGGTAGTCTTGGGACACTAAGTCTGAAATTAGCTAGCGTGAG